ATTCACAGTGGGGAATTTCTACAGTGCTCTCTCTCCAGAAAGCCAGAGGGTGATTGAGTCTCTATGCCCAGGAGGGGATGTTCTCACTAAGACTCCACCCGAGCTGAACCAGATGATTAATACATTGGCTGCCAGAGATCATTCCTGGGGGCAGAGCAGCAGAGGCAGACATTCCAGGGACCGTGGTGTGCACGCCATGGAGACCAGATCCGGGCTCGAGCAGCAGGTAGCTGAGCTAGTGCAGACATTGAAGCAGCCCAACAGTCTTATTCCGGGCAGAGGTTTGGCTACACCTCCAGTTGCTCAATGTCAGTGGTGTGAGAGCTCGAATCACTTAGTGGAAGACTGCCACGCTATGAGGGAGTCTACCACACCCCAGGAGCAGTTGGCCTTCATCGCCAATGCGCGGCGCCTCGATCCATACAGTAACACATATAATGAAGGGTGGCGCCAGCATCCCAATTTCGCCTAGAGCAGCAACACCACTAAACCACCCGGTTTCCCAGCACCAGCAGGTGGTTTTCAGCAGAGGCAGCCCTTCCAGGCTCGCCAGGGGCCAGACCCACAGCAGCAGCCCTACCAGCCTAGGCAGGGGCAGCCATTCCAGCAGCCCCAGCGCCAGTTTGCCGAGCCAGCAGCAGGTCCAGCCCCAGATGACAGGATGACGAAGCTGGAAAACATTCTAGCTTCATTCATGACGAGCACTCAGGCGACTATCACGAGGTTGGACCAGAGTGTAGCCTCACTGGAGGCAGGTCAGAGGAACCAGGGTGCCATTTTGCAGGATCTGCAGACCCAGGTGGGCATCTTGGCCCGCCAGAACACCACCAGGGCACCGGGGACTTTGCCTGCCACCACTGTCCCGAATCCTCGAGATCCTCACCACCATCAGCAGCTGGATGCCATTTTTACCAGGAGCGGTAAGACCATATCTGCTGATCCTGTCCCGGCCAGACAGGAGGAACCACGACCTGCTTCAGCACTTCCAGCCGACGATGCAGAAGTGCAGGTGGAGAAGGAAGCCCCTGCTCCCAAGCCACAACCAGTGGTTAAGGAGCATGTACCCCAGCTTCCCTTCCCCACTCGCCTACACAAAGACAAGCTGGAGACTGAGTTTTCCAAGTTCATGGCAATGTTGAAGCAGCTCAACATCAGCATACCGTTCGTGGAGGCACTGTCGAAGATGCCCAAGTATGCCAAGTTCATGAAAGATCTCTGCACCAACAAGAAGAACCTTGGGGATCTCTCGACAGTGTTGCTGAGCGAGGAGTGTTCTGCTATCCTGCAGAACAAGCTGCCCGAGAAGCGCAAGGATCCAGGGAGTTTTACTATCCCTCTTACTATTGGCAGCATGCATGTAGGCAAGTCCTTGGCGGACCTAGGCGCTAGCATAAATGTCATGCCATATAAGTTGTATAAAAAGCTAGACCAATGTGAACTTAGCCCTACTAGGATGAGCATTCAGCTAGCTGATCGTTCCATTGTGCATCCTAGGGGAATCATAGAGGATCTGCTTGTCAAGGTCGGTGCATTCACATATCCTGTTGATTTTGTTATTCTTGATATACATGAGGATGTGGATGTGCCTTTGATTTTGGGTAGACCATTTCTTGCCACCGCCAAGGCACTTATTGATGTGCATGATGGTAAACTGATCTTGCGTGCTGGGAATGAACACGCTATTTTTTCTGTGACTGAATTTGATCACTGTGCTATGAGTGCTTTCACCCCTGTGCATGCGATGTCTGATCAGGTACACGAGTCTGTCGTGTACCCTTCTGCACCTCCTATTTTGCAGGACCCTCCTATCATTCCTTCGCCGCCACTCCATCCAGCCTCGCCTCCGAACAAAAAGCTCAAGGAGGAGTGGCGGCCGAAGCAGCAGGTTGCTAAGCCTGCACGGAAGAAGAGTGGCGACCACTATGAGCTGGTCCCACCTCTTGCACCACGACCACCCTGGTCGTCCGGGTACTCACTCGCCTGCATCCTGCCAGATGGGCAGGTCGAGCTGACTGATGAGGGTGGTCGCATCCGTCGGGTGCATGGCCACAACCTGAAGCTGTACCTCAAGAGCGACGTGGATCCGCTCTTGGGGGCACCTGTTCCTGCACCGCCATGAGTATCCACCATGGGCGTCCTGCTAAAAGACGGTAAAGAAGCGCTTGTGGGGAGGCAACCCCACCACGGTTTGATTTTCTTTCTTGTGTTTTGAGTCGGATTGTAACCCGGTTTGGGTTTGGTTTGTTTTCTTTTGGTTTGAATGATATTTTATTGGGCTGACCATTGAACCTAACATATTGTGTTTGAGCTCTTCTGTTTCCCTTTGGTTGTGCTTGCCCCGACTGGCCCGTTTCCAGTCTCCTGCAGTCCGTGCATACCGGTAACATCGTTCCCTTTTCCTTCCCTCTTCTCCATTGAGGGCAATGTCGATCTTAAGTGTGGGGGGATGTTTATCTTTTGACTGCATTAGATCTGTTTGTGTGCTTGGAGCCTAGTCCACTGTCCAAATTTTTAAATTTGAGGGCTCCAAGTACGTGTTTCCTTGCAATTTCCTGCTCAGTATGCTTTGAATTGACAGTCTTTATAGTAATATGCAACCTAGGGAGGTAGTGTAGCACTATGGAGGATGTTGATGCATTTAAGAAATCTCATTTCTTCTTCATATTGTGTTGGTTGATTGAGTGAATTAGTGATCTTAGGACTCTTGAATTGTGTGGTGTTGTGGATTCTCTACCTGTCATGGACTCTTGTATCATGTTTTGAGTTTAACAGGTGCTCGAAAATGTGCTTCAAAATAAACGTCTCCCGTGCGAATAGGGCGAAAGTGTGTAAGAGGAGACGGGAATTCATTCCCAATTTCCACCTACTATCTCCAGCCCCCTTACATGTCTTTCCCCCGCACGAGGCTCGAGACATCCGCTCCTGGCATGACCGGTAAGAGCCGGTTGGTACCCTTGAAAAAAGAAAAAAAAAGAGAAAAAATAACAGAAAACAAGCAAAACAGAAAGAAAAGGGGTTCCAACCATCTTCAAAGAATATAGAGCACCTTGAAAAATGTGAGTCCATGATCTTTTGTTTTTGAGAATCTCTTCATCCACAATTCATTTGTCCTCTGTTCACTATTTCCCATGATGCCGACTCGATACTAGTGCTCTCGCCGAAGAAGCTATGAGATGACTTGTGCGTCGGTTGACCTCGTAAGCTGCTAAATGATCTAGGAAGTCCTCTACCTACGATCTGGGTTGTTTGTTACTATAGAGGTCTGGAGAGTTGCATTGGTTTGAGTTAGGTTTGCTTGGGGACAAGCAAACGGTTAAGTGTGGGGGAATTTGATAACGATGTAATTGCACCCCTAGTTCTTATCCGTTTGAGGGGCATAGTCGTGTATTTTTGGCCTATTTTACGACGGGTTGTGCTATTTTGTCATATTTCAGGTCCCAGGCGTCAAAGGAAAGGCTAAGCACGAGTTTCGGGGCATTCGGAAGTCATTTCGGTGAGCTGGAGCCAAAACACGGGCACACCTAAAACAGAACACGGCCGTGTTCTGTGACCGTGCTTTTACTGCCGAGAGCTAATTCGAGTTTGGACCACATTGGCCAAAACACGGACAGGGCTGAGATAGAACACGGGCGTGCTTCACCAAAGCACGGGCGTGTTCTCCCAAAGCACGGGCGTGTTCTACCAAAGCACGGGCGTGTTCTCCCAAAGCACGGCCGTGTTTGCACCAACACAATGGCCGTGTAATTAACCCTAGCCAAAGCACGGGCGGGCTGAGGCAAAGCACGACCGTACCCTCGACCGTGCTTTGGCCACTGATGCCTTTTTAAGCAGATTTTCAGCCAAACAGAAGGGGATTCGAGTTTTTGAGAGAGAGAACGATTCCTAGAGAGAGAAAGCGACGAACAAGAGTCTCCAAGTGCCCTAGATTGATCTTCAACACCATTGGAGGCCAGTTTGAGCTTGGAGAAGTGCCGATCAACATCCAGGAGCAGGAATCCATCCTTCACAGTATGAATTCCGCGTCTGATTCTGCTTTTGCTTCTTTCTCCATGGAGTAGTTCTCCCATTCATCTGGGTATGGAGAACCCTAGATTTATATGTTAGGCTTTGATTGTATGAACCCAAGTACTGATTCTATGATTTGATTATATTCGATTGAGGTTTGAATGATTGAATGACTTGAATCCTGATCAAATTCCTGTTGTTTCTGCTTTAACTTAGAATGAGAATATCTGCCTAGGTTGACAGAGCATCCTTGATTGAAGGTAGGGAGTTGGTGACTTTAGTCGAGGAGCCAACTCACTATTCTGTACCGGATTTGCTCCGGTAGCGGAGGTTTTGTTTGTTAGGGCCTCAATCTGTTTATTCCGGTGGAGGTTAGTCGCCCGCTAGAGATTCAGATTGAGAGGGTCTGAAGACCTTTAGTCGAGACTTCAGGCTGTTTGAGAACCTTTCGCAGTATAACTATCATAGAAATTGAACTTGGTAATTACAATCCGGCTTAACTGCAGTCTAGGGGGAACCATATCCGGGTGACCTCTCTTAACCTGAATACAACCGTTTACTTGCTTTGTTAGTTTGTTAGTTTAGACTTGCATTAAAGTTTCATTGCTAGATAACAAGAATTCACTGAGTAGTCATCAAATCTAGGACCCGGGTTGATAATTAAACCCAAACCCGCTATACTACGCTTTAGGAAGTGGTTTCACCTGGCCAATTCCTGGAGTGACAGTAGAAGTGAGTCACCAGCCCGTGACCTTCCTCAACATTTTGGCTAGCAAAACCCGGCCCAGATTCGAGCCCTTGCTCAGCTCACTCAACTTTTTGGCTAGCAACCCTCAGCCCAGATCCGAGCCCTTGCTCTGCCCATGCAACTATGAACTCTGGCCCAATCTGCTGATCTGGTTCGCCCATTCTCCATGGCTCATCATCACCCTTGATCTGAACTCATTTCGGCCTAGGACCAGGCCTAGTAGTGTAATCTGCCAATGTGCTTGGGCTCACTTCGCTTCGCTGCGGCAACCGTTCGTGGAAGGGAAAGAGTCGCCGCGGCTTGTATGGGAGCAGGGTCTGCCGCCGCCGCCGCCTTCCATGACTTCGGTCGTCATCAGCTCCGAACCCTCCATCGACGGTGGCCACTCTCCGGTAACGCTCGTCCCCGTCGAGCTCACCTCTGACGATCCCTTCTTCTTTTGCTCCGTTGGCTCCACAATAGCAGATCGCGGCGTTTGCGTGATTCGGGTCACCATCGCGTACACCCGCCGCATCTGCTCCTCTGCTTCGCATCCTCGGTGATAGCCAATGTCGCGATTCGCCTCCTCTGACTTCTTCGCCGGCGGAGCACTCATCCAACGGCCAGGGAGCGTGCTCAACGCCGCTACGCTCCTCTCCGTTCCGCCGGTCTCCAGCATCGACTTCCTGACCTTCGTCACCACAAGTGGAACTGCCGACAAGCGTCGCGCACCTCGCAACGACAGTGAGATGACTCTTCGACCCTTTGCTGGCTCTGCTTGGAGTCGTCGATTGGTTCCGACTCCGAGCTCCGGTTTCCACTTCTTCTTCTTCCTCGGCGGGTAGAGGGTCCCGCCGTCGACGACCTCCTTCCTCTCCACCTCTGGCAACGCGCGAGGAGGCTCAACACTGCCTCTCTCCTTCTCCATCTCCGGCGGATTCCTCTTCAACTGCGACTGAGGTTCGCCTTCAATCGAAAGAGAGAGAGAGCCATCCTCGTCCACTTCGTTCACCGACGAATCCTTCGAGTCGTTACCCAGCGACGCCATCTTCGTTTCCATCCCAGCTTCCATTGACGAACAGACCTCCTTGACTGTGGCTGGCGGCGACATGGGCGAGCCCCTAATGTAGTTCGGTGTAGTAGGGATGGCCGACGCGGCGGCCCCGGACTCCTCTTCGTCCGTCTTCGGCTTCTTCCGAGACCGCCAGCTCGCTACATGATGCGGCGTTGGTCTCCTCTCCAAACCCTTGGTTTGGTTTTCTTCTTCCAAGGCGTTCGTCTTCTCACTGTCGGGAACAAGGATGGAAGAAGCAGGATCACCTTCTTCTTCACTCACGACCGCGAAAGTACCATCGGAAGCCTTGGATGATTGTTCAAGCGCTGCAAACAGTGTTGGTAGTGAAGTCGCAGTCGTGGTGACCGATGCTGTCGGAAGCTACTGCTGTTTGTTGGTGACGTTTGGAAGCTCTTCCGTGGCTGGCAGCTCGATTCCCAAAACCCCTTCCACGTTCGGTTTCTCTGCTCGCCTCCCAACTTCGCCCTCTGAGTCAACCTGCCCAACCGACAGTTTCTCTTCTGCTGTGGTGGCATTCCCGGTCGGCAGCTCCTCAGAGCTCCAACGACGGCCGATGCGGCGAGCTCGGTCACGCAGCTCTGCCCACGACAGGTTCGAGAGCTTTGAAGAGCTCATCGGCGAACCAGTTGTAGAACTCGTCCCCGGTTGAGAGTTGTGGTGAACTCAATTCTCGAACCAGGCTCTGATACCAGATGTTAGAAACAAAGTTTCTAACGGGATTGATAATTGGGGATTTAGGGATTTGAAGAATAGAATTAGGGATTATGAAGTAGAATTTGGGGGGAAGAACGAGAAAGAATGGCCGACGGCCGGATTAGGGATAGAGGAGAAATTGAGAGGAGTTGGGAGGGAATAGGGTTTAGGGAGATAGACATTTCTTAATTCTTTTCTGATTGATTCTGAATGGAGACCCCCAAAGTACATTTATATAGGAAATACCGGAAAACCCTAATAATAACCTAATTCTATTAAATGACTACTAACCTTATTGATAATTATCCTAATAATAATTATATTAATAAATAGAGAAACCCTACAGAAATTGGTTTCTAACACATACAATCAACTTTCTAGGAGGAGCAGGGAAGGATTGGCCAATTGGGGGTCAGATCGGAAGGAGAGAAGGTTTTTGGGGGAGAGAGCAGAATGGGGACTGGGCAGGCAGCAGGTGTGTTGGAGATATTCTTTCGTAATTGGATTAGATTGGTTGTATTAAACTACTAATCACTATCCAATTGGAATATAGCTTGTACAACTCGTCATAAATGGAATCTGCTCACCCATAGTGGCCCATGGTGGGTGGCCTGGATTTACTTGTATAGGATAAAGGAAGCTTCTTTCTGGGAATTAACTGCTGGTTCTACTTGTTCATGGGTGTGGAAACGTTTACTGAAAGTTAGGGATAAGGTAGAGGGGTTTCTGAACTACTGGGGTAATCATGTTTTCTGGAACAATAAAAGAATGGCAAAATACACTTGTATAGCCAAAACTTTGACGTTTTTGTCAAATATAGCCACTTTTGGCAAAATACCAGAAATAGCCAGCTTTTAAAGTTGTTGTATGACAAATATAGCCATTTCCGTTAGATACTTTAACGGTGTTATTCACACCGTTAACTTATTTGACAATTTGATGACTAAGCACCAACTCAGCGAACATGTCAGCGCCACATAAGCAAATAGTGACACGTCAGATATTTCAATTATTAATATTTACAAATCATAAATTAAAAAATTAAAAAAAATCACCCTCATATACCCCCTCTGCGACCCATTTTCCCCAACTTCCCCCAAAATTGATTTTAGGGTTCTTCCCCAAAATCAACGGCGACGACACGAACAGAGAGATACCCAGAAGCAGCGGCGGCTTATGGAATCTGGGTTTCTGATCGGGTGGGACGGCGGATCGAGGGAATCGGCCGGGTGGGAAGCCGCTACCTCTTTTCCACCGACCAACTACGATCTCAGCTTCCATCGTAGTCACCGCCATCGTCACCAAATTGCATGTCCGGAAGAAGCCGCCCACCATGAATGGCGCTCCAAAGTTTCCCCTAAAACCACTAATATGCAACCGAAATCCTAATTCACAAATCCAATCGAACCAAAATCAGATTCAACCCCCTAGAGACCCTAAACCAAATTCAATTTCCCCCAAACTTCACTTCCTCCACCATCCTGTTCGACTGAAAGGCAAAAAGACCATGGGGAGGAAAAAGGAAGTCGTCGAGTTCGAGGAATCGCCGCCGGATGACTTCGATCCGTCCAATCCGTACAAGGATCCCATGGTGATGCTTGAGATGAGGGAGCACGTCGTGAGGGAGAAGTGGATCGCCATTGAGAAGATCAAGATTCTGAGGGAGAGGCTCTGTTGGTGCTATGCGTCGAAGGTGTCAACCACCACCAGAAATGTCGCCACCTCGTCGAGGAGTACCTGGAGTCCCCCTGTCCACTCTTCTTCCCAGCTAGGAACGCCGTCCTCTAGTCGCGGAAGTGGGACGACCAGGAGATTTGGGGTTTTTGGCTTTTGGGTGTGAAGAGGAGAGTTGAGTGCAGGATAGATGGGGTGAGATGAAGTGATTTTGGCGAAGGCAACGTAGGTTAGGAGGAAGAAAAGGAGAGAGGTGGGAAGATGAGGCGGATTCAATCTCCAGTTAGGAAATTTTGAACTAATTTTTTATTTAATTCAAGTTAAAGGATAAAAATTTAATAATTTTCCACCTGGCATTATTTTTGAATAAAATATGCCACGTCAACCTCTGTTGTTAGTCCAGTTAGCACATTAACTAACACCGTCAAACAATTGGACGGAAGTGGCTATTTCTGGTATTTCACCAAACGTGGCTATATTTGGCAAAAACGTCAAAGTTTTGACTATACAAGTGTATTTTGCCTAAAAGAATTCTTAAGTACTTTGTGAAGACTGTTTGGGCAGATTTGCAGCAAACAAGCAGCTGGTGGACTGGTTTCATCTCATCTGGTGTAAGTATTCAATTCCACGTCATAGCTTTATCAGTTGGTTGGTTGGTTGTGAAAAACAGGATTACCACACTAGATAAGCTCAAATGTTGAGGGTCTGATAAGTGATGACACTTGTATTCTTTGCTCTACTGACCAAGATACTAGGGATCATCTTTTCTTCAACTATTCCTATTCCTATGGTGTGTTGAGAGGTTGTCTTCAAATGATTCAAAAGTCTTGTCCATGTTTAGCTGGTTACAATGACTAATAAGCTAGGTTATTCAACAGTTCAATGAGAAGAAAGCAAGTGCTTTAGTTGGTCGTTTGGTCTAGAATGTGACAGTCTGTATGTTATGGAGAGAAAGGTAACTACTCTCATGGTGTATTCCATGTGCGGAAGGTAACTTGGAAGAGGGATGATTCAAGGATGAGGAAGAAGGAGAAGACTTCATAAAATGGAAAAATAGAAGAATTACAATTGCCTTTGTGTAAGTCACATACTCAAAGATAAATTTGTCTTATTCGATCTCTATTTAACATATACGAAGTTCTAGACAAATGTTGATTTGTCTAGTGGTTTTTGGTTGTGGTTTTGTTTAAGTGGTTTATGTTAAACCAAAGAGACAAAATGTATATACAATTTATGATGATTCCGGTAATGTAGTTGTCATACATTTGTATGTGTATGACATGCTTATCTTCGTGACCAATAAAAGATAAATGAACTTTACTAAAAATTTATTGTCATCTAAATTCCATGTAAAACATGGGGGAGGTAAATTTGATTCTGCATTGAGAAGGTGCATGGTAAATTTCGTAATGGAAATTGTCGTGACTTAAAACTCCAATGATCCAGTATGAAACTTATGGTTAATACTGGCCAAGCAGTTTTTACAACTAGAGTATTCCATGCTAATTGGGTGTTTGATAAATGTAATGACTTGCATAAGACAATATATCAAATATACGGTATGACAACTAAATTGGTGTAGGAGTTATCCTAGTGCTCATCATTTGGCAACGGAATGAGGCATGTACTAGGATATCTCAAATGCACAATGCATTGCATTTACTTATGGTGGGTTTCCCTTCATTATGGGATGACAAACTGATGCAAGTTGATTTCTTATATTGAAGATTAAACTTCAACACTAAGATGAGTCCTTTTGCTTGGGGGAGGTGTCATCTCTTGGGAATCTAAAAACCAAACTTGCATCATTAGTATCACTATGGTGTCAAAATTGTGTGATGGTTGAGAGATTTGGTATTCTTTCATGGCCTAAACAAAGCTCACTTTATTACTATCTTTTTGTAGTAATGTTACTTTGGCTATCGATTATAGCCAAGTGTAAAATGTAAAGTACGGTCATGTCGGAGTTATGCACAATAAAATTCATGAATTGATCACTCATATATTTGTGTATATACAATATGACCCGACTGGAGTTAATTTAGTTGATCATTTGACGAAATGATTAGCTATTTACTTGGTAGTCAATTCTATGAAAGGGATGAGTTTAAAGTCCATATAATTTCTGATCATGGGATACACAATTCCCCTCTAATACAATTTTATAGTATGAATTTAATGTGGAAAGCTCATTATCATAAATTGAAGCACACAATTTGTCATCCCGATGTATGTGCTTGTTATTCAGCATGATAGAAGAGGATGAAGTTCAAAACTTCTTAATTGAATCTTTGACAAAGTCTATTATGTGGGTACACAAATAAAAGATTCAACCTACGTAAGCATGAAGTGTAGCCGCTTCAAGAAACCCGGGCTTTGGTTTCGTGTGCGCTTATGAGAAGGATTGGACACATGGAGGATAATAGTGTCAAGGCACTTAGAAGTTTGTAAAATTTAAGTGCATATTTTCTTCGAATATTCATATGAGTAGATGGATTCAATCGTTACGGACACCCAAATATTCGGATATTTGTCAAGTGTAATATACTAAGATGAAAATTCAATCGTCACGACATTTTCATTTACGCTTAAATTTTGTTGGAAGAATGTTGAATGTTATAATTTTCGTAGATTTATGAAATACATTAAAATGGGAGAGGAATGTTGGGGATATTCTTTAGTAATTCAATTAGATTGGTTGTATTAAACTACTAATCACTATCCAATTGGAAGAACACGTCTTGCTAATGACTATGCAATTAATGGCCATGCAATTTCCGGTTAGCTTCCAAAAGATGAAACTTTTCATGGACTTTGAAAAGTAACTATTGCCTCCAAATACGGCAACTTTTCATGGATTTTGATAAGCAACCGCAATAAAATTGGAGGGACAAAACCCTTCAATGCACCTCTTGGTCCTCTATTAATTAGAGGGACTCGATTGGTGGTGGTGTACAGAAACTACACACCAAAATTCATTCTTCTTCCTATGAAACTTCTAGCTATGCTTTAGGTTCTTAAGTCTGGAATCTAAAGTGGTTATAGTTTTATCCTACAAAGAAAATTCCTGTAACCCAAAGCTTTGTAGAGGGTGGAAATATTTTTTACGGAAAGTGAATGTTGTTCACGACTCTATCATTATCCTATTCACCCGGTCTCGAGCTATCGTACGTGTACCGTGAGTGTCGCGAGAGTTAGATTGGAGAAAATTAGAACTAGTGTAGGGTTTGGGAAGAGTAGTGCGATGAAATAAGTGTGGGCGGGTATCCATGGGTGACTCGTCCCGAATATCACAATTAATGGAGTTGGATGGAAACTAATGGGAGAGTGACTAAATGTGACCTGTTTCAGTAATTCGAGTGACCGGAGTTGGACGGAAGCTAACGGGAGAGTGACTAAATGTGACGTTTTTCAGTAATTCGAGTGACCAAAATTGATATTAAATATTTCTAGCGACTAAACATGACACAATTTAGTAATCTCAGTGACCAAATGTGGTATTTACCCGTTCCTGATCCTAACAGGTAAAACCAAACCCGGAGTCGAAAGTTGGAAGAAAAGGAGCAAAGACCGAGCCAAGAGGTGGAGGCAGTCGCAGTTCACGGCCTTATGATGGAGTTCACGGTCTTACTGGACCATGAACTGGAGCCAGATCCTGTGAAGCGAGGAGCAAATAGAGGGGCTTTTCAAGTTACTGGCTCCCATGCAGTTCACGGTCGCTAAGACCGTGAAAAGGGGCCACTAATCATGAACCCAAACAATTGATGCGGTGCGTTTTGGTCGCGACACTGAGTTCAAGGACGCGTTTCAGTGTTTACGACCATGAATTCCGGCCGTGAACTCAGCGCGATCTCCCACTTAAGAGGAAAGCTGAAGGAAAGAAGAAAGGGAGAGATCTAGAGTGGGAAAAGCTTCTCTTTCTTCTGATTTTAAAGTGAGAAAGTGACGAACCAAAGAAGAGGAAAAGCTAGGGCTGGATCTCCAAGCAAGGATTTGGGTTTTCTTCAGAACAAAGAGCAAGGCTTGCCTCTTCATGATGGTTTTCCTTTCCCTCTTTTGTGTTTCCATTCTCCTAGCATAGAGTAGTCCCTTATTTCACTTGGGTGTTTGTAAACTCTAGCTACAATTATGTGAATGCTTGTATGAATTGAATGATTTGTGTATGGATGTGTTTTAATGTGAATGTGGAGGTATTATTCAGAATTGATTGTGTTGTGTGAAAGCCTATTAATCTAATTGACATTCTAACATAGTTTAGAGAGAAACCCCCTTAACTTAAGAGGGTCTCTTAGAGATGGGTTTCTTTGGGCATTCTATGCCTCCTGGTTTATGTTAGTTAGAGGGCAAACCTCCTAATTCGTAATAAACACTTAGGGTTTGGTTGTGGGTGGCCGTCCGAACTCAAATTCGAGGGTGAAGTCTAACTAATTCTTAGTCGATAGGTTGAGAGGGTCACATCAGTGGCTTTGATCGTATCCCATTCCTCAACCTAGAATCTAAGAGGGTAACTTTGGTTGCTTGTTAGACTTCCCTGCGATTTCTGACCCCCCAACCACACACAGTCGTTCGATTCTTTAAGTCATAATTGTTAGCTAGGGGGAGCAACACCCGGGTGAAGCTTTCTCAACTAGAGTCAAATCCATTTTACCTTTGCAAAGTAATTTATCTTTCAATTTTTGTTTTCACCAAAACTAATCCGCTAGATAATGTTTCAAACAATAGAAGTAGCGGTACATGGACCGGCCCGGGTCGATATTTAAACATACTTTCCCTATATTGCACCCATCTAAGGTTTATACTTTTACCTTAGGTGTGATTTTATTGTTATAGTTAGAGCGCGTGAAGTGTTTGGCGTCGTTGCCGGGGAACAATGGTATGTTATCGTGAAAAGTTTGTTTGGTGTTAATCTAGCTTTTAATTTCTGTTGTGTTAAGTTGTGAAGTATTTTCTTGTGCTAGACGTGTTTTGTTCCTTGAGTGTTTGTAGGGAGGTGCATGACCCGGTGCAATCTGGCGCCTTTGAAACCATTGGACGAGGAAATCAACCAGACCCTCCGACTTCTAGCTCGAGAGATGGTGGCAAATCAACACCAAGTGGCTAATTGAAGAAGGATTTGTAGTTGAAGCAATTGAAGAAGGATTTGTAGTTGAGATGGTGGCAAATCAACACCGAGTGGCTAATTCGCTTCCAAACCCAAATGGAGAAGCGGAAGCCGAGGAATGGCCAAGGACTATGGGCTATTAAATGGCTCCATGGGTGGCGAATATCCAATCTCCCATCTTACATCCACCCATGGCCGCCAACAACTTTGAGATCAAGCCCTCTCTCGTGACGATGATTCAACAAAATGCTTACTTCCATGGGCTATCCCATGAATCACCACGAGAGCATGTCCAAAGGTTTCTTGAGCTAGTGGGAAGCTAGAAGATTAATGGCGACCCCGAGGAGGCATTGAGATTGAAGATTTTCCCCTATTCTTTGTCGGGGAAGGCACTCTGTTGGCTCAACAACCGTCCGGCTCTATCCATCACCTCTTGGGATGATCTGCTCAACAAGTTCATGACCCGATACTGTCCTTGACACGTCCCGTCTCTTTTCAAAACCAAACCACAACTCAAACCAAAAACCGGTTACTCCGGAGCAACCCAAACCACCTTTTAAAGTAAACAAACCGACATCATTTAAGAATTTTTAATGAAAAGCCCCAACACTTGGGCAAAATTCTCAATCTCAAACACTTAAAACGACTTAACACAGAATCTCCAGTTTATACTAATAACCATGAAACATTATAATTAACTAATCTAACTTGACTCCTCACGAGCATTCCGATATCCCATCGACGCTGGTACTGCTGCTCGCCTCGCCCTGCTTCTTCTCATGATCCACTTGTGCTAGACTATCCTCAACCTGGTGAGTGAGAAGGGGTCAGTCTCGTCGTTACTTCCTAAGGTCTTTGGCCTAGGAAAACTCTTTACTAAACACATTATTAGGGGAAATACTTTCCTAGCATGAAAGCCGTTCTCGCTTTCTGCTCTAAACTAATCATTCTTATCAACTCATTTCAACATTAACTCCTAAGAGTGCTCGCCTTCTATCCTTAACACAAACACAAACCACTAGGACCACCGCATTACGTCTCGTCGTCCGGTGTCCTGCCCTAGTATGCCAACCGCGTTACGTCTCGCCGTCCGGTTGCATACCCAAACTCGGCAATAGCACTGCGTTACGTCTCGCCATCCAGTCCATGCCCGTCAACTACTGCGTTACGTCTCGCCGTCCAACAATGACCTGACCATCTACCGCGTCCAGTAGTGGCCCAACCGCCCGGGGGTTCCTCATACCATCAATCCATACATTATCACATACATTCATACATAGCACAACGCGTGCCTCCACCCTTACAGGCGGTGGGATGCCTCACACACATATCGCGCATACTAGAAAAATTAACTAAATAATAACCTCAAATGAAAAGCGTAAACTAAAAAGACCTCGACAGAGATTTTACCCCCTTTACACTATCCTCTTTAGTCGCATCGACGTCTGCATTGTCACGCTCAAGCCCTGCGCGTTTTCCCTCTTTTGGCTCCTCCTCTATCGGTTCATCGTCTTCCTCGTCAACAACCCTAACCATTGGAGCTCCGCCGCCATTCTCTTCAAGGTCCCTCCTCGGGACACAATTTGGCGGCCAACTTCGAACTGCCGACACCCCGGGTCGTCTAGGAGGATGGTCGGGGCCTCTCCATCACTTTACCCTCGCCAGTTGCGATCACCAATGTCGAGTTTTCGGCCTTCCTTGCCCCTCTAATAGACGCGGCTCTTCCCCTCCTACTAATCGGTGTGAACCTCTTCTTCACGCGAGACTACGAAGTTCGATCGGCTGCTAACTTTCTCGCCTTCTTTCCCACCTTAGCTGGATTATCCCAGAAAACCTATTAATAAGAAATTCATACTCTAAGACATCCTTTCTCGATTTAAAAGCCTCCTTTTTA